GTGGTTGATAAGGCTGATCTTTGAACCACAAATTCTATTACAGTGAGGACAGATGTTTCCTGGTACAGCAGGAGGCTGTACTAGATGGCTAAAAGCCAGTCTCTCCTTCCCCCTGCACCTCTTCTCCTCTTCAGCATGTCAGCAGGCAAATTCAAAATGCAGGAAGCCATTGCATAGGACTTATCTCCATTTCGAGTGATCCTGGGTGTCTCACAAGTGTCAACGTCAGTGTTGCTCTTCGTTAAATTATCCTTTAGCAAGTCTTTATAATGCTTCCGTTGTCCTTGCACGTTACAGTATCCTTCTTTCAGCTGAGGAAACAGGACCTGCTTGGGGAGGCAATGGTCTGGCATCCGAACAACATGACCAGTCCAGCAAAGTTGCTGACAGATGATCATTGTCTCAATACTGGTGGTCTTTACCTTTCCAGAACTCTAGTTAGTGTGCCTATCTTCCCATTTGATCTTCAAGCTCTTGCAGAGGCAGTGTTGGTGATACCTCTCAAGGACTTTCAAGTGATGTCTGTAGGTTGTCCAGGTTTCAGACCCATACAACAGTGTTGGGAATATGGCAGCTTGATAGACAACAGGTTTGATGTCTGTTCAACTGTCATGATCTTCAAAAACCCTGTGCCATAATGAGGAAAGGTCGCACTGGCATAGCTCAGATGATGTTGGATTTCTCCATTAATATCTGCCTTGGATGAAAGATAACTTCCAAGGTAGAGGAAAGGATTGACATTCTCCATTGCCTCTCCATTGATTTTAATAGATGGAGTGCATGGTACCTCATTTGGAGAGGGCTGATAGAGCACTTCGGTTTTCTGGATTTTGAGGGTGAGACCAAGACGTGCATACACAAACACATTCAAGATAGCCTGAAGATCTTTCTCAGAGTGGACAAAAACTGTATTGTCAACAGCCTACTGAAGTTCCACGATAGATGTGGTGGAAATCTTTCTCTTGGCTTTCAGTCTGCTAAGCCTAAACAGCTTTCCATCCATTCTGTAGATGATTTCAATGCCAGTTGGGAGCTTCCCAGCAATTAAGTTGAATATGATTACAATAAAGACTGCAAACATGGTCGGGGCGATGATACAGCCCTGTATTAGAGCAGCAACATGGGGTTGCTGGTGGCAGCCAATATGATCTGCTGCTGTATCAGGGGCAGCAGGCAGCTCCCCAGGAGCTGGTGTATGCGAGGAACCAGCAGATGGCCGACTGCTGTCCCACATTGCTGCCTCTGATAAGAATATAAGAAGGGCCATACTGGATAAGACCAAAGGTCCCTCTAGCCCAGTATCTTGTCTTCCTAAAGTGGCCAATGCCAGATGCCCCAGAGGGAATGAACAGAACAAGTAACCATCAAGTGATCCCTCCTCCCAATATCTGACAGCCAGAGGCTAGGGTCACCATTCCTACCATTCTGGTTAATAAGCCCTCCATGAATGTATCTAGTACCGTGGTGTACAACATGTTAGCCACTAGCTATGTGTGGCTATTTGGCCAGTTGAATATGGCTAGTTGGCTTGAACAATGGGACCATTTGGCCAGTTGAGTGTGGCTAGATCTCTATAGCAGTAGCCACTATAGTGGTTACTGCTTCAGAAGTGGCTGGACACCATGGATTTAGTATCTGTATTTTGATAGAAACAGCAGAGTGGAGCAGTAATTGGGAGCCAGTACACATGGGGAGCCAGCTTCTCGTTGGGAGCCAGTACACACGGGGAGCCAGCTTCTCATACGCACCTGCTCCCAGGGAGCTGACTGCTGCCCCACATATAACCATGTAACCACTGACATTTTCGGCGGTTACACAGTTACTTAATTGCACTCATTTTAACATCCAAGATTGCACTCTTTTGCAGTCTAATCAGCAAAGCCATAATATACTTAAATTGTAGCCAGGAGCAATCTTTTATAGGTAGATTATAAACTTTTATAAGGTTCAATAGTGAAAATACTGGCAATTTAAAATACAATGACTTCACTAAGGAGATGTAAATGGATATAAAGACAAACAGAAACAAAAGTCAAATTTAAAGAGCATTATAACCGTAGTTAATATATCTCCTGTAGATTTTGAGAAAACAGATAGGTAAGACTTCTAACTTTCAAAATAAACAATATCCATTCCTGTTAGAAGGCATGGTTTGATTTTTAGTGTTTATACTTCTTTGCGCTTTTAGGTTCCATTCCAGCAAAGCATTAAGTACTTGCTCCAAAGCCATTTAGGTCCATGGGAGTTTTTTTATTTGCATAGGCTTTGGGTCAGACTAGCTGCAGTGCAGCAAAACACTTAGCCATGTATTTAAGTATTTTTCTGAATTAAGGCTTTAAAACTATTTCAGTTGTCCCCGTGAGATGATGATTGCATTTCAATACACTACATTTCAGTAACAGATAAAGTGATCTGATAAATAAATTACTTAGATCATATGTGTTGTAATGACAAAGGAAAGATACTGATCAATTTTATTATTGTAGAAATTCAAGTAAATATCTTAAGACTAATATAAAACACGTAAGAATTGCTGCAAATAAGCTTATAGGGAGGTACTGGACTACGGCAACATTTTGTTTCTCTACCTCAGCTTCAACATGCTGTGAAAACTAAGGAGTTTGTTATTTTAAAGTGGACAGTGATTGGATTAGGTGGAGAAGACAGTTAGCTACAGTATTTTCCAGTGGTAGCTGCCTTATTTTAAGGACTTTGTAATTGTATAATAGATGTTCTATAATTTAGATCAGTGTTTCCCAATTTTATTTGACCACGGAACCTTTTTGAACTCGAAAGAATTTTGTGGAACCCCTGACTGACTGCGCACGCAGCACTGAGTAGTGACAACACTGTCATCATTCCCTGGCTAAACTTGCATTACACCGGGACACTTATCGTAGCAAACACAAATGAAAATTGTTTTCAATAAAATTAATAAATGAATGAAAATTCCATTCCATTACAATAATTCAGGCTGTAATGGAATTTTCTCGCTGAACCTCTATTTTCACTTCACAGAACCCTGGGGTTCCATGGAACACCAATTTGGAAACACTGATTTAGACTATTGCTTTACTTCTGTTCCCACTTTTAACTTTGCTCAATAAAAAGGACTGAGAAAGCTTGTTAAATACCAATATACATTTCTGTCTACACTGTAAAGAATGCATGGATTTAAAGACTTCTTAATCACTATTAGTTGAGAAGCAGAGTGAAAATTCTAGATTCTTTGTAATGCTTCCAATACATCATTTTTGCAAATGTTACTGAAGCCCCATTAAATCTTTTGCACATTCAGCTGTGATTCAAACAAAGGATTCGTCAAAAAACCTCAGCCTCCAAGACTTGTGCACAGCTTAGCTTTACAATGCTCATAGTGCAATAAAGTTTAGTAGTATCTGTGTATGTCTTTGCAGGATCTGAGCCTAAAGAAAGCTTGTCCGACTAGAAGTTCATTGCTATATAACCTTCACTGAAAGTAGGAGTTTTGATTTCTGAAGGAAATGCATCACCTAACTCAACAGCAACCATGAGAAGCAAAACGTACAGTTCACCTTCACTAGTAGCTGTGATCTACAGAACAAAGCTGAGAAGCAAAAAGTCAACCAGCCAGGTTTGCTGCATTTTTAAATTAAAACATCCTACTTGTAAATCAGGTCACTAATGATAATCAATCAAGCTAAATGGTGCTTTTGACCAGATATGATAGGCAAATGGGTAATTCTGCTTTTAGCAACTTAAGCAAATGTGCATCATGCACCTCAAGCCTATACATCAGGGCTATGTCTACGGAAAAGTTTTCCGTTAAAAGCATTTGTGGAAAAGAGCGTCTAGATTGGCACGGACACTTTTCCGCAAAAGCACCTTTTGCGGAAAAGCATCCGTGCCAATCTAGACTCGCTTTTGCACAAAAAAGCCCCGATCGCCATTTTCAGCTTTGCGCAAAAGGGACTTTTTCCCGAACAGGAGCAGCATAGTATTTCCTCAAGAAGCACTGATTTCAGACAGTAGGAAGTCAGTGTTCTTGTGGCAATTCAAGCAGCCAGTGTAGACAGCTGGCAAATTTTTCTGCAAAAGCAGATGATTTTGCAGAAAAACTTGCCAGTCTAGACACAGCCCAACTGTGCACGTGCTTTTTACAGAAATCAGTCTTTGAAACTTCTGTACTGCATTAACTACTGTGCAGGGGAGAGGAGGGTGGTGGTGGAAATGAATGCTATAACACAAACAGGATTCCCTGATCCTTAGAGCCCTGTATGGATACAACATTCGTATCACATTCCATCCATGAACACCCGCAGATTTGTAGGGCTTTACTGACCCTGAAAGTGACTGCAGGCAGGTGCCCTATTGAGTCCTCGAAAAGTGAATTCCAGGAGGGGGCCTTATATAACCACATGGTCCAGTGGGGTGGGGGCATTTTCCCCCATGCCAATTTAGTTGCCAAAAGTTATGTTGCTAACTTTTTAATTTTTATTTCCTATTTTGTAGATTCCAACAGTCGGCTGTGAAAAGGTTTCAGCGAAACCTTCAAAAAGTAAATAGGACAATACTATCATCCTATTTCCTTTTTGAAGGTTTTGCTGAAATCTTTTCACAATCGACTGCTGGAATCTATACAAAATAGGAAATAATCATTAACAAGTTAACAACTTCCGGCAGCTAAATTGGCGCCCTTGGCATGGTCGATTTAAAACATTTTTTTTCACTTGTGCCGCTGAGGCAAACCTACAATTGGAATATTGACACGCAGGGCTTCTGGCCACGTGTTCACTTGTGACCTTCCTGCCAGCCTGCGAAGGCGCTTGCCAGGCAGGCTGTGGTGCGGTGATGTAGTGTGGGGAAGGGCATGTGTACGGAGGACTCTGGGGGGCTCGTCGGGCTTCAGCACAGCCCCGAGCCTGCGGAGCCCAGAGGAAAGCCCAGGGGGCGCCTATATCTAACCGGAAGATGACACCCTCCTCCCGCTTCCGCTCAAGCGGAAGTAGCGTAGCCGGTGACAGAGGGACTCGGGTCCGCTCCTATCCAGGTCCGATAGGGGACACTTCCGGTCTATGAAGCCGCGAAACTCGGCTCCTACCCTTGCCGAGGAGGGACTGCGATGGTGACGGACACTTCCGGCAGTGAAGGTACGCGCCTTAGTGGTGCCGCTTTGCACCGAGGAAAGCTGAGCCGGGCAGGTATGGCGCGCGGGAGCGGCCTGAAATAGGGCGGTGTGGAGAGGGCGGGGGAGAGGGTAAGGGGAATGATGGCCAGCGGGAGGGAGGGGGAACGGGAG